CTGGAAAGCTGAAGAGACTCAACAATCAATAGCAATCCATGAATCTCCTTTGGATCCCAATTCAAACAAGCTTAAAATTCATGAGACAATTGTGGTAATTCACATACTGTTTGGTCATTTGATGAGATGAAGGCATTAATTTCACTTAGTGAGATAATAGTGCTGTGGTTATGTTTTGCTTTCAAAAAGCCCTTATCTTTTAGAGATTCATAATGAAACATTTATGGATGAAATGATATAAAGCTTAGGTCTGGCTTCAAAATAGTCCAGGACAGGGAGTCAATGAAAGTATAAATGAATTAAGATTGGTAGTGACAATAACTGAATTTGAGTGACACGTACCTTGGTGGTACATTCTAGCATAACTGAATTTGAGTGACACATACCTTGGGGGTACATTCTAGCATTCTCTTATTTTTGTGTTTGCTCAAAATTTTTCAAACAGAAAGTTAAAAAAAAATTATCTGAGGAGCTTTTAAAATGTACAGATATCAGGGCCCCACCCTGAGTGATTCTGAATTAACTGGTCTTGGTTGAGACAGACCGGGAGGAAAAATTTTCCTCTACCTTTCTGGGTTCTTCTAGCTGGTCTAAGAATTAAATTTGGCATGAGACTGATTAACAGGAGAAAAAAAAAGTTTAATTATGTGCACACAGAAGCCCAATAATGAAACTGAGACCTTAATAAATGACCAAGCTGGCAGTTATTACACTTCTTAGACAAAGAGACAATAAATTTATGAGGAATTAACAGGACAAAGAAAACTTCTTTTCAGGAGCTTCAATTAGTAAGGAATTGTAAGTAGAATCTGGTCTGGAGGAGTTAGTAAAAAGGAACAAGCTTTGTTTACCCAGCCTGGTGATAAAAATAGCTCTGCCTCTCCGCACAGGAAGGGTTCTGTTCACCTGAGGTATTTATTTCCTGCTTTCCTTGGGGGGGTTGGGTGAAGTGGGGTGGGGATGGGGACACAGTGACGTCAGAGTATCTTGCACCAGCTATATATTAAGTAACTTTAATTCAAAATATGCCAAAGTGGCACATTTTGGGGCAGTCTGCTCTTGACCCCTACAATACTAAATATTGTATTGTCATAAAAACTCCCCATGGGGTTTTAATGTGTTTCCAGGGTTAAGAAGTGCTAATAGAACACAAACTAGATCATATCCTCACAACTACACGGAAGGTGGAGAGTAGTTACCCACTCAGCAGATGGGGTGCTAAGCTCTGATAATGGACTTTGCAAATTTGAGGATCTGTGAACAATTCCCACGTGTGTGGGTGTGAGGGCAGTGTGGTATGGAGACTGAAACCTGAAGTTTGTGAACTTTTCCTCCAGAGGGTCAGATAAATTTTTGGCTTTGATCTCCGTTGCAACTACTTAACTCTGCCGTTGTACTTAAAGCAGCCACAGACAAACAGTAAAGAACAGGTGTGGCTGTGATCCACTAACACTTTACCATCCAGTAACACTTTATCTACAAGAACAGGCAGCAGGGACCATAGTGTGCTGACCCCTGGTTTAGACCATGGACATTAGGCTTAGATATACCTGAGCCCAAATCTTGTCCCTTCTACCAGCTAGGTGATCTTGGATGGGTCTCCGCCTCAATAAAGTGGGCATTGTCCCTACCTCATAGACATGCTGTGAAGGTTAATGAGATGGTGTGTGTAAAGTTCAAATACTAGCTTGGTAGTACATCGTGATCTATTTATTACTATAGGCCAGCATGTAGGGGGTACTGGGTACAGTGGAAGCAAAAAGAAGGTGCTGGGGTTTCAGCATAGAGAAGAGACAGGATAGGGCTGCTGAGAGGCTGTGATTTATAAGAAGTATGCATATAGGGTCTTCGTCCACAGTCCCTGGCTCACAGCTCCCAACACCCTGATTTCCTGAGCTATAAGAGCAATGCAAGCATTTTCTGTTATTACATCTGATCTTGTCCTCAGGTCCTGAAACACTTCAGAGCCATAAAGGTGAAATGGGTGTCTCGTCTTTCATAGCAAGTCCCTTTCCAGCACAACCGGGTTTATGTTAATGAAGATGACTTTTGGGCCCCTAAGGGTGGGTCTGAACCAACCAGGAATAGAGGGTTGGAACTTTCAGTGCCCAGAGGCTGAATCAATCACCAACCACCAAGGAGTTAATCAATCATGCCTATGTAACAAAGCCTCCATAAAACCCCAAAAGGATGGGTGTGGAGAGCTTCCAGGTTGGGAAACCCAGAACGATTGATGTGCCACTGTTCTGGGCCCCAAACCCCATGGGGCAGAGGCTCCCTTGTTTGGGACCCCATCCAATGTGTCTCCCCATCTGGCTGTTGATTTGTATCTTTCAATATCCTTCGTAGTAAATTGGTCATCTAATGAGTAAACTGGTTTCCTGTGTTCTGTGAGCTGCTCTAGCAAATAATCAAACCCAAGGACGGGGTCATGGGAACCTCGCTTTATAACCAGGTCGGTCAGAGGCACAGGTAACAGCGTGGTCTTGTGATTGGCTCTGAAGTGGAGGCAGTCCTCTGGGACTGAGCCCTTTACCTGGGGGATCTGATGATGTGTCTGGGTAGATAGCGTCAGACTTGAGCTGAATTACAGGACACCTACTAGTGTCCAAATCGCTTAGTGTGGGGAAGTACATGAATACACACACCTTGGAATTAGGTCCAAGAACCCCAAAGAGTCACTTTCCCAGGACCTCAGAAGCACCAAAGGTGGTAAGCTTTTCTCTCCATTGGGGCAGGTAACTACTACTTCCGTAGTTTATGGCATGAACCATGGAGTACTCATGATCGAATTCTTTCTAAAAAGCCAGTTCTTGCAATGTGAGCCCTGGCTTGTGCTGGGGAGGAAGAATTTTGTTTTCCCCTTCAAGGTCCTTCTACCAGTGTAAGAATCAAATTGACCTGGGACAGTAAGAGGAGAAAAAAACCACCACCAGTTTTATTACACACGGAGGCCCAACAACGAAACTGAGACCTAAAGAAATGACCAAGGCAGGCAGGTAGTACATATTTTAGTCAAAGAGACAATAAATCTGAGAAGAACTGACAGGACAAAGGAAACAGGCTTGGAACCTTCAATTTATATGGAATTCTAAACAACATTTGAGCTGGGGTAGTAAATTAGTAAAAAAAAAAAAATAACAGCCTTTGTTCATGCAGCCTTCTCTAGCTCTGCATTCCCTTCCCTGGAGATAAGGACACTCTCTACAACTCTTCCCGGTTTCAGCAGGTGACAGAGGAGGGTCAGAGTGTCCATCCTGCACCAGCTTTTCCTCCAGCTGCTTTAATTCAAAGTCATCAGTGTGCCCAAGAGACACACCTGGGGTAGCTGCCCTTGGCTGCTACCTTCCAAAGTGCCTGGTCCCCACTATAGTTGCGAAGGCCTGTTCCACAGTCCCAGATCAAAACCCTGATTCTACTGTCTGTTGCCAGCCTCACCCCTCCCCTCCTGTGGCAGGACATGTTTGAATGGAGGAGGGTAAAGGGTACCAGGGTGGGGGATGGGAGCCTCGTTAATGTCTGAAAACGTTCACTGTATGAATTTTGCAGTGAGGCACTAGAGAGGCAAATGAGGTAAAGGGCATGAATTTTGTAGCTCGGTTGCCTGGGTTAAAATCCTGAGTTTAACTTACTAGCTGTGTGACCTTGGGCAAATTACTTAACCTCCCTGTGCCTCACAGGGATGAAGGCATGGAAAGCACTAGAATTGTGCCTGGTACACGACAAATATGTTGAGCCACAAGTACTTATAAAATTTAGCACTGAGAATTGGTCACAGTTCTCTGTATTAGACCGTATCAAATTATATTGATCTATTTTTTAAAAAATCCTCAGTTTGCCTATTTCCCAGTGAGTATCAACTGTTGTTCATTCATGCTTCTTGTTCATTTTTCTGCCATAAATGCCAGGTGCCAGGAAAGCAGCAGTCAACAAAACAGTTAAGATTATAAATATAATCTGAAGAGGGGACCTAGAATATATCTGCATATTTAGGAATAAGAATAAATATGTCTTCTTACTTAAGATATTCAAGTGGTCTGTATGCTACACAGGGAAACAGCTCTATGCTTGAGAACATGCAAAGATCTGAGGAGTGGATCCTATGCTCCAAACTGATAGAGAAAATTTATGTTCCTAGGGACAGTGGAGCATATAGAGGGAGAAGCAGCTTTTGACCCGGACCGTTCTAACAGTTAAGAATTGCCCCCACCCCCAAAAAAAGAAAAGAATGAGAAAGAAAAGAGAAAAGGAAATCGTGTTGTAGATCTAATGCATACTTTTTATGGGAAGGTATCTAGGATATCTTTCATAGCACTGAGGAAGAAAATCAGAACACCAAACAATATGCCTATGTGATTCCATTTATGTTCAAAATTGTACTTGCAAATATCATTCATACAGGTATTTTCAATATCTGTAAGGATTCATTCCAAACTGTTAAAAATAGCTTTCTCAGGGGCAGGATAATGGGAGATATTTTTATTTCCTATTTCACATGTGTTTATTGCAATGTTTGGAATTTTCACATTATAACTTTCAAGAGGAATATTTACACTTGTGGAGAAAATGTGTTCAAAAATCAAATGGGGTACACGAATGGGAAGTGAGGTAGTGAGCTCCCCAGCATTAGGGATATTCAAGCAGGAGCTGGAGGAACGTGAAGCAGAGGTTGTGATGGGGGACTGGACCAGTCATCTGTGAGATCCAGAGGCTCACCCCAGGACTCTGGAGTGGCACTCCCCTCTGGAAAAGTCTCACCTACTATCTGGGGGCCAGCAACTAGTGTGTGATTCAGCTTCTTGCTGCTCTGAGTAAGGCTCAGCTGCTCGGAGCTACCCTGGTGCAGTTTACATGGGGCCTGAGGTTAACCTAACTAGGCTTTGGGGGCCTGCTTGGAAGTTCTCCAGGCCCGGCTGGCCCAGCAGGGAGGGAGAGGAGGAGGGAGCAGTGACGTGGCGTCTGGGGCCTTGCCGTCACCTGTGCTGATAAGGGCTCCTTTTCTTCCTCCTGCCCCTGTAGGACAGCCATGGAGCTGCCCTGGATGTCCCTGCTACTGGTGGCCTCTTGTGTCTCCACTCTCCAGGGCTCACCAGAGAGCAATGTCCAAGAGGCCAGCATCAACCTGTCCCAGCCCTTGCACATTGTGGAAGAAGGCAACCTGCTGGTGCTCACATCCGCTGGCCTGACCCAGATGCTGAACCAGACCCGCTTTCTCATGGTGCTTTTCCGTGAGTGCCTCCAACTCTGGGGTGGTGGGTAATAAGTGAGGTGACACCTTCCTCCTTGCTCTTGGGTGCTGGAGGAGTTTATTATATATTGCTAAACATATGAAAACACATATTATGAAACTTCAAAAAATAATATGTGTATAGCATCACCCCCAATTTCCAGAGGAGAATACTGAGGTTCAGGGAAGTTAAGCAAGTTCAAGATACTATGTTGTTACTTTAGTCCTGGTTTGTATGTGGCTCCTCTGTCCCACTGAAGGCATGGAGCCAGGCTTTAGCCTCAGGTATATTCACCATTCAGAACCTTAGTTATCCCCTCTGTAAAATGGGCATGAATGTGATGACCACACTGGATTGTTGTGATGATTAAATGAGATACTACATTAAGTTGCTGGAACACAAGCAGAGAACAGTACATGATGGTGGTTATGGGCAAGCTCTGGAGAAAAGAGGCTTAAGAGGCCATCACCTTCGTCTAAATTACATTCTTTGGGCTGTTTTTCTCTGCATCATCAGACATTTTAGAGAAGGAACAGATTTCTTTTTCCCGAGGTACAGAGCTGTGTCTTGGGAGCAGGTGGAGGAGTTAAGAGCTTTCACACAGTGAGCACTTACTGGATGCTGGGTGCCACCCTGAGCGGCTTGCTAAACATTGTCATTTAATCCTCACCACCACCAGGCATGCTGGCACTATTTGTCTCACAGTTTTATAGCTGAGGAAACAGAAGCTCAGAGAGGCCAAGTGGTTTGCCCAAGGGCACACAGCTCCCAGGTGGGGACCAAGATGCTGTGCTTTACTACTTCGTACATGCAAGAGGCCATCATCTTTGTCTAAATTACATTCTTTGGGCTGTTGTTCTCTGCTTCAGCTGTGAACGCTGGAATCCAGAGTCCTGCCTTCAGAGCCTCTCCTGGGAAGTGGCTGGCTCTATGTCAGGCTCCAAGGCCTGCTTCCAGGATGTCAGACCTGACTAGCTCCTGGGTTCCCAGAGGGCCGGCAGGCAGCGCTGTGCAGGGTGTGCACCTTCCCTTCTTGGTTTCTGTGCCTTCCACACAGCGCCCCCCTCAGGTTCCCCCACTCCCCCACTGCTGCTGGGGTGCAGCCATTTCTCCCCTCCCTATCCTTGCCCTCCCCTAACCATAAACCCCTTACAGCATCCCTTTTCTCTCCAGTTTGACCAGAGCGTACAGTGGGGTGCTGTAAAGGTTCATAGTCCTGGGCTCTAATGCTGGGGTCATTCTGTCCCTTGCTGGTCAGGGGACCTGGGGCAAGTGGCCTTGCTTACTCAGAGTCTCTCTTAAATTTGACTGTGAAATGGAGAATTTAATATTATTATATATATAATTGCTAGAGTGCGTAACACACTGCCTGGGGCATAATAAGAGCTAACGCACATGTTGGCTGCCTCCTCTTCGTCATTACTAGTTTCCTCATCAGTGTGAAGGGCTGAGGGTTGCTCCCTCGCAGGTTGCAGTGGCGATGACGGGCTCAGACGTTTAGTCATTAGCTCCCGGTGAGCCCTCGCAGGGCAGAGCTGCTGCTATTCTACTGATTCTGATTCAGCCCACTTTACTCAGTTCTGTGCAGTGCCAGGCCTGGGTAGGCCCTATGAGGGTCCCAGAGAAAAGAGGCCCTGGCTTCTGCTCTCAAAGACTTTACAGTTTAAGCCAAGACCCAAGCTTGACATGTTGTCACAAGATGGTCACAAGATGGCCGTGGCACCTCCTGCATTGCAGCACACATTTTTGTTAGGAAAAAAGGGGGACAAATAACAAAGGGACAAAATACATTCCAGCCAAGTATGTCCCTTGAAAAAAAAACTTCTATAAGTTCCACCAGTTAACATTAGTTGTATCTTATTGGCTAGAATGGGGCCCATGGCTATTCCTAACCGAGCAGTCTGGAATGGTGAATGTTTTAAGTTTCCAACCTCTGTGGTGAAGGAAGCAAGAGAAAAGGATATTGTGATGGTTGATTCACAGTATTAGATCCAAGTTGTAGGCATGAGAAACTCTTTAAAATCCTACTTATACTACAAGAATAGTCTATAAATTCCATATGCTGGGTGCCCCAAGGAGCTTCTTCCAACTGCAAACCAGCCGAGCAGCTTTCCCTGGCTTGCCTCCTACATGATTCATCTTGGAATGCACAAAGGACTCCCAGGCCAAGGCAAATGCACCTTGAAGCTGGGAGTTTGGCTTCTATAGAATCTATGGTTGCTGGCATCAATATTTATCAAAGGCTCCATGCCAAGCACTGGTAAATCCTTAAGAGTTGTTCTTAGTCTGAATCACCCACACACCTTGGTTCGTAAGTGACATTAAGGTTTGGTTTAAAGTCATGGGCTTGGGAGCCAGGCAACTGTGAATAAGAAGCCCAATTGTGCCATGAATTTAGGTATGTGGCTTTAGATACATTTCTTTGTGTCTTACCTTCTTTATCTGTGAAGTGGGAATAACAGAAGTGGTGGAGTCATCATAGGGATCGACTGAGAGTATCTGTGAAGAACCTGGCACATGGAAGATGCTGAGTAAATGAGTATCCATCCTCCCTTGGCCCTGTGACACCTAAACAGATGCAGTTAATCAACTTTCTATCAGACAGGACTGGGATCAGCTTCAAGTAATAAAGAATCCGCTAATGATGGCTTAAATTGTGCGCCAGTTGATAAGCAGTCAGTGACTGTCCTAATAGCTCCACTGGGTCGAGAACGAGGCTCTTTCTAGCTTTTCACTCCACCAAGCTTGACATGTTGTCACAAGATGGTCACAAGATGGCCGTGGCACCTCCTGCATTGCAGCACACATTTTCGTTAGGAAAAAAGGGGGACAAATAACAAAGGGACAAAATACATTCCAGCCAAGTATGTCCCTTGAAAAAAAAACTTCTATAAGTTCCACCAGTTAACATTAGTTGTATCTTATTGGCTAGAATGGGGCCCATGGCTATTCCTAACCGAGCAGTCTGGAATGGTGAATGTTTTAAGTTTCCAACCTCTGTGGTGAAGGAAGCAAGAGAAAAGGATATTGTGATGGTTGATTCACAGTATTAGATCCAAGTTGTAGGGTAATTTAAATGTGCCAAATGTCTTATTAGTTCTTTTCATATTTTGGGCTCAATTAATGCTAGATGAATAAAGTCCTTAAAGGAAATGATTTCTAAAATTGATTGCCTACTTTTGCACTCAAACTCCTTCTTTGTTCTGATTTGATTAGATACATTAATAATCACTGTGTTAGCAGGGAAAGCTGACTGCTACAACAACCCCAAAACTAGGTTTAAAAGTTTCATTTCTTGCTTGTATTTTTGTCCCACACTGGTCTGCAGAGGAGCTCTGCTCCATACAGTCATTCAGGCACCCAGGTTCCTTCCAGTGACTTGAGTCAATCCAGTGACTCAAGCATCTCTAGGGCTAGAATATCCCACTGAATCCTCTGCCCCCAGCCAGAAAATGGATTGAGAGACAAAGGACGTGCTTCTGAGCTAGGCCAGACATGGAAAAGGTGCACAGCAGTGCTACTCAAAGTGTGGTCCATGGACCTACGGCGTCAGCATCACCCAGGAGCTCATTAGAAATGCAGAATACTGGGCCTCACTGGTATACTACATCAGAATCTGCATTTTAACATTTCAAGGTAATTCACATACACATTACAGTGTGAGAAATGCTGGTATCACATCATTTCTACTCACATTCCATTGGCCAGATTGCCTTCAATGGCCATAGCTAGAGACAAGGGAGACCAGGAAATGAAGTCTAACAGTGTAAAAGCCAGAGGAAAAACAAACAGGGTTTGGAGCACACATGACATTGTCTGCCTTAATCACATTGTACCTACTTTTTGCTGTCGAAGCCTTAAATGGCCTTTGATCAAAAACAACTTAAAGCTGGTCTGGCTGAATGGCAGCCCGGTGGTATAAGCTCTTCAAGACAGTGAACTACCAGGAAAAGGTTTTGCTTCTGGGTAGGATTGTCAAGGACTATTTCCTCCATGAGGCTGACTTTCTAGACTTTGCTTATCTCAGGCTAACATTTCAAAGACATCTAGTTCTCAAATTCAACGGACACTTGCCAGTTCCTACCTTCCATATGTGTCTGCAGCCCCAACCTGAGGCCCTGGTCCCTAGGGGCCCATGAGCCCATTCTCTCTGGTTCTCTCTGACCTCTTTGGCTCACTTTCTCAGTTCTTCCTTATGCCTCCTCTTTCCTATAACCCTGAAGTCAAGGCTGTGACAAGCAGCCCATGGACCGAAAGTGGCTAGCAAGTAGGTCATGTTTGGCACATGCACTTTTAACACACTTTTAACAATTGGGAGATTTCAAAATTAAAACTGAATTTTTATCTGCTATTGAAACAACAGATTTAGAAGCACTGGCCCACATTCCTGCAAAGTGACAACCGGTTGGAGCCAAATTATTTCCCCTTTTGAACAGAATACATGCCTGTCAGTTTGCCACATCCCTGTCCAGCCAACCCCACATAGTCCACACACTTTGCATGACAGAACACACATCTTAACACATTTAGCCTCCCCAGAATGGCAGAGCAGGTGGGCAGGAGTGGGGAGCCTGTCCTGCCCCTGTGAGAATGTGGGTCTGCCCAGTCAATCAGGGCAGAAGGCAGAGTTCATGGCTCTGTGGGACTCTGACATAATTTAAGATTGGCACTGAACCTGGGACTATAGCGAGTCAATCAGTTTTACATTCCTTAATTCCATTTGAGGACAACCAATTTGAATACTTTAAACTTACAGAATTTCCACCAGCACGTATTTGAGAGCAGTGAACACCAGCAGAGATTTTGTTATCTAAAAGGAGACAAACTCATTATGATCGAATATTTGACTCCTTCCAATACACAGTTTCAATCAAAATGAGTTCTCAACAACTGGCAGACCTTCTAAGTGACCTTTGGAAAAATTAATCACTTGGGGAAAGCATTATAAAAGCTTCTTTCCAGGAGTAAATGAGCTCTTCACAAAAAGAATTTTTCTGATA